AAAATAAAGTATTACCTCCTTCAAATAACAATCCTCCTTTGAAGTTTCAATATTGTGGTCCAAATGGAACTTAAAGTTATGCCCGGGCAGAAACTATTTTCAATTCTAAGGTAAAAGTGACCTTGACCTTTGACCTTGTGACCCCAAAATCATTAGGGGTCTTCTACCCAATATGGACAATGATACTATGAAGTTTAAACACAGGAGGCCAAATGATACTTAAGTTATATTCCGAAAACTGTTTTCAGTTTTAAGGTAATAGTGACCTTGACCTTGTGACCCCAAATCAATAGGGGTCTTCTTCCCAATATGGACAATCATCCTATGAAGTTTGAATATTGTGGACTAAATTTAACTTAAGTTATGCTCAAGAAACTGTTTTCAATTTCTAACTAATAGTGACCTTTGACCTTGTGAATCCAAAATCAATAGGGGTCTTCTACCCAATATGGACAATCATCCTATGAAGTTTGAACACTGTGGGCCAAATAGAACTTAAGTTATGCTCAAGAAACTGTTTTCAGTTCTAAGGTAATAGTGACCTTGACCTTTGACCTTGTGACCCCAAAATCAATAGGGGTCTTCTACCCAATATGGACAATCATCCTATAAAGTTTGATCAATGTGGGCCAAATGGAACTTAAGTTATGCTCTGGAAACTGTTTTCAGTTTTAAGGTCATAGTGACCTTGACCTTTGACCTTGTGACCCCAAAATCAATAGGGGTCTTCTACCCAATATGGAAAATCATCTTATGAAGTTTGAACACTGTGGGCCAAATGGAACTTAAGTTATGCTCCGGAAACTATTTTCAGTTTTAAGGTCATGGTGACCTTGACCTTTGACCTTGTGACCCCAAAATCAATAGGGGTCTTCTACCCCATATGGACAAGTATCCTATGAAGTTTGAACACTGTAGGCCAAATGGAACTTAAGTTATGCTCTGGAAACTGTTTTCAGTTTTAAGGTCATGGTGACCTTGACCTTTGACCTTATGACCCCAAAATCAATAGGGGTCTTCTACCCAATATGGAAAATCATCCTATGAAGTTTAAATATTGTGGGCAAAATGGAACTTAAGTTATGCTCCAGAAACCAAATTGCTAACAGACGGATGGACAGACGACGGGCGGGCGGACGGACGGACGGACAGATGGACGCCAGGGGGTATAACATAATATGTCCGAAATTCTTTTGGGCATATAATAAAGAAACCAAAAAATGACAGATTAACTGTGAGTTTGTAGCGTTAATTTATTATAATTGTTTGCTTTAACCTTTTCCCTTATACAAGCGAGTTTTGACGGCTTTTTGCCCTCCCCCCCTTTTGAGGCCTCAAACAGTGAAAAAATGCCCTATTTTGACCCCAAACACTGTGTTTTGTTTAAGAAGTGTTGTTAAAAAAAGTGACCACTTTTTCGACGCCGTCCCCTATCAAAATATTACATCAGGGGGTTGCCAGAAGGAGGATGTGACCCCTTCTGTTTGGGGGGTTTGAAGGGGGGCGGAGTTCCCCTCATAGCCAAGGAAATTTTGGACATGTGACAGGCTAAAAATGGCCTCTAGTCCATCTTAGGGTAACTAGTAACCGACGCTGAAAGGCCCATTACTCTATCTCAATTCATTGAGAAGTTGCAGCACTTTGAAATCAGTTTTGATGGAAAAAAACAATGCAAAATAGTGATTTTTGGCAATTTTGAGATGTCCCCCCATTGCCATTGGTAACAGGAAATTTACCATTGAGCATGCTATGGGGTAGTCAACATTTGTGCCAAGTTTCATTAGAATTTAAGCATTTTTCATAGTTTCATAGCAGTTTGAACTTGTTACAGGAGGCTTTTCAATGAAAACGGCCATTTTTCGCAATATGCTCATGGGGTAAAAGGTTAAAATGCGGTCCCTACATCGTGATTCTTAATTGGCATGCTGATTTTATACATATAATAAGGCTACTTTGCTTTCAATGAGCAAAAGCCTCTTGATATGATAGCCAAATCCCCTCAAAAGAAAATGGCATTTAATTTAGTATAAAAATGATGGGGTAACAAATTTCCAACTTTTAAAACTTATTTGTTTCTTTGGTTTTTAAATGCCAATTAATTTAACATATTTTTGATCATAGCCAGAAAGTCACTGGCCACCTTAAATACTGGAGTTCCTGGATAATTTACCAGTTAATTAACAAATTTCTCTGCAAGTGATTGACTTAACTTATCCAACACAATTTCTGAAACAGTGGTGAGAGATAAATGACAATGAATCAATGGTAAAGATTAAATGCCCATGGATCAATGTTCAAGATTAAATGCCATGAATCAATGTTCAATATTAAATGCCCATGAATCAATGTTCAAGATCAAATGCCCATGAATCAAGGTTCAAGATTAACTGTCATGAATCAATGTTCAAGATTAAATGCCGATGAATCAATGTTCAAGATTAAATGCCCATGAATCAATGTTCAAGATTAAATGCAGATGAATCAATGTTCAAGATTAAATGCCCATGAATCAATCTGTGGTCGAGGGGTAAGAGTCGATGACTTCTAATCCAGTTACCTTTCTGGCGTGGGTTCGATCCTCGGGAGATGCTTTGGTAGTTTAGCACGGAGGAAGGTAGTTTAGTACTGGTGTAACTCTCCAGGAACAATGGTTAGGAAAGTACCCGCCTATATGACCGAAAAACTGTTGGAAAAAGGCGTAAAATGAAACAAACAAACAAACAATGTTCAAGATTAAATACCCATGAATCAATGTTCAATATTAAATGCCCTTGAATCAATGTTCAAGATTAAATGTCATGAATCAATGTTCAAGATTACATGTCATGAATCAATGTTCAAGATTAAATGCCCATGAATCAATGTTCAAGATTAAATGCCCATTAATCAATGTTCAAGATTAAATGTCATGAATCAATGTTCAAGATTAAATGCCCATGAATTAAAGTCCATGATTAAATGCCAATGAATCAATGTTCAAGGTTAAATGCCCAAGATAAAAATGCCATTGCCCATGAATCAATGTTGCCCCCATGAATCAATGTTCAAGATAAAATGCCCATTGATCTATGTTCAAGATTTAATGTCATGAATCAATGTCCAAGATTAGATGCCCATGAATCAATGCTCAAAATTAAAAACCCATGAATTAATGTTCAAGATTAAATGCCTATGAATCAATGTTCAAGATTAAATGCCCAAGATAAAAAATGCCATTGCCCATGAATCAATGTTGCCCCCATGAATCAATGTTCAAGATAAAATGCCCATGAATCAAGGTTCAAGATTAAATGCCCATGAATCAATGTTCAAGATAAAATGCCAATTAATCAATGTTAAAGATCAAAATGCCACGGATCAATGTTCAAGATTAAATGCATATGAATCAATGTTCAAAATTAAATGCAGTGTCATGAATCAATATTCAATATCAAATGCCCATGAATCAATGTTCGAGATTAAATGTCAAGAATCAATGTTCAAGATCAAATGTCACAGAGAAACAAGCAATTTAATATCAAAATATATTGCAAGCAATACAAAAGTTCCCTACCGGATAGAACCCCACAAGAAGTTAGAAAGTCAATTGTCATGTCAGCATTCTGAAGGAGCCAATTCTAAATCATGAGAAGAAGAAAAACAATTACACATTTGTTGTAAAAGTTATTTTCCCATGTGTAAGATTAAAGAATTATTTATTTGTCATCATAATACAATTATTGCAAATAATCATCTGTGAATGAGAAGAACGCAGTTAATGTATCTTTTAGATTATAGGAGCCAAATTTAATTGCAATAATATACTCAATTACTTTAAATAAGCCTTAAAGACATGTTACTTTTTTGTGCTAAATTTAAATTGATATTTATGAAGAATTTCTGTATTTAAGATTTTCAAAATCTTTTTTATTATAATCAATTTTTTTGGTTTGGTTTTATGACACATCAACACAGTTTACGTCATAATTTTGTCACTGAAACAGGAAAGATGATTATGGCTAACCTTGGGTGTTAAAAAAACTTAAAGCAATACCAAAGGTCAAAAGCCAGCTGTGACACCTGCTGGAGCTATTCAGAGATGCATAGACTCCAGTATTCAAAACCCATTCTAAGTTGCTTCTTACAAAATCATGCTGGGTTAAATGATTAGGTGGCTGCAATTCTGATGATTAAACTCACAACCCCCTATGCCAAAAGGGGCTTATTGTAATGAACTAAATACCTTAAATATTTACAATGCCATAAGACAAAATTTCTTATAACAGATTAAATATTGAAAAACTTATGGTCATTTTGCTATACATGTATTTAAGTGAGGGGTTTTTGTCCATCTATTGAGAAGCTATTTGTCATTTGTCTTTTTAGTGTGGAGGATTTTGTTTATTCATTTAAAAGCTCTTGGTCATTTTGCTGCATTTGTTCCAAGAACTTTTCTTTTGTCCATCCATAATGGGGCTTTTTCATCTTTTTTTTTACTATTGGTCTAGGGTACTTTTGTCCATTCATCTAGGAATTTTAACAATTTTTTAAAACATAAAAATCAAACAGGGGCTTTGCCTTAAAGCCTTAGGTTTTTCACTTAAAAAAATACAATAATCTAGAAACAAAATTGTAACACAAATACCTGTAAATCATGCTATTAATAGGACTTGTAACAGTACATTTGTCTCTTGATTTAACAATATGCCATTTTAAAGTGAACATTTCCTATCATTTCAGGCAATTTAAAAAAAAAAACTTGGACTATCAAAGGAACAGCAATACAGTAAAACCAGAAGGTATTATCAATGGAACAACTGACATTTAAATAAGAAACAGCTGAAGATTAATATAGCATAGGCATTTATCATGGAAACGGAGACATTTAAAAGAGGCACTTATCACACTCGCGACACACACCGCTGAACCGAGAACATTAGCAGGTAAATCAATGGAACAGCTGCCTTTACATACGGGCAAGTATTATCAATGGAACAGCTGACATTTAACATTGCAGGCACTATCAATGAAACAGCTGACATTTAAAATAGCAGGCACTATCAATGGAACAGCAAACAATTAAAATAGCAGGCATTATCAATGAAACAACTGACATAACTAATGGAACAGCTAAAATTTGAAACAGCTGGCACTATCAATGGAACAACTGACAGGGGAAACATCAGTGGTAATACAGTGAAAACAATGGAAGGATTGTTTTCAAATCCCATTGAAATGATCTCTTTCATGTTTTCAATACTTGGGATAGTAGCTAATGGAACTGCAATATTTGCAACTGTGAAAGCATCGAACAGCAACAGAACACATTCCAAACTTATCGTAAGTCTGTGCATATCTGACGGTTTGGTTTTGATCGCTATCCCATTAAAGTACATACTTGACACATTTAGAGAAATATTTGAAGACTGCAGGAATTTGTATAAGCCCATCTTGTACATTGCATTAATTGCCACTCAAATAAATCTACTTGGAATGGCTTTAGATCACTATGTTGCCATTATGAGGCCATTACATCACAGAAGACTTTTGTCCAATTTTCGAGGAAATTTTCTTGTGATCGGAATTTGGGCACTTAGCATTACAGCAGGTCTCCTGGAATTCATAATTGGATTATTAATGAAAGCTGGAAGTAATGACAGCAATTCTGTGTGCACGGCAATTTTTATAGATCCGTACGACCTCGAAATTTTCATTATAAGTTTTATTTTTGTCGTCTTGCTAATCATCGTTATAATTTACACCAGAATTTACATTCGCCTAAAAAGCCCAGAGGGGCTTATTGGAATTCCTAAGCAACAAACAACTAAAGCTTTGGTGACTACAATACTTCTAATTGGAACATTTACAGTCTGTTGGGCGCCGATGGGAATTTTCCAAATCTATATGAACTTTTTATTAAAAACTAATGTGCAGTACTTGATCGAACATTTGCAGGATTTACTCCTCGTTAATGGAATTCTGCTTCTCGTACTTCAGATGAATTCACTCATCGATCCTCTTATATATGCCATACGACTTCCTCAGGTGCGGAAAGGCTGTCACACATTTTTTGGTGCGAAAAAATCACGACAGGAAGTTTCATTACCGCTAAGCCCTCTACCAGATAGCATAAATCAGTGCACTATTCTTATGAGTGACTAATGATCACTAGCATTTCTGTAAATATTAATTAACATAACTGTCAGCATACAAATTTAACTCATTGACTGTAATGTAAGTAATTTATTACACGTCGATCCCAATCCTTTTATCACCCTGGACTAATCATCACTGCCATTGTTGTAAATATTACCTAACCTAGCTGACAGAATACAAAACTCACCATAATGAAGTAAATTATGACATGTTCGTCTCCTCCTTTCACTGCCCTTAATATGTCTTATCCAATTTTCGGTACCTTAACCAGGTGGCCCATGAGTGTGGCTAGGTCATGGGTATTGTTCTGTGAACGTCGCCTTGTTAATCTTTGTTCTCATTTATTTTTATAATGAAGTATTATAAATTAACTATTGCCATACTAATTAATTTGCCAAATAGTTGACAGGATTATTTATGTGAATTAGTTAAAAAATGCCCGCGGGCATAAAACGTCTTTTTCTACGCCGTTGTTAGGAAGTTAAAGTTGTTTAAATCGCCAAGAAATAGTGGATATCAACAGCAGACAGACGATGTTCAATGCACACAATGCCGGGGGACCACACAACGAAGCTTTGTAACTCTTTACAATTAGATGATCTAAAACCTTCGAGATAATGCTTCTATGACATTATAATTTATTACTCATTTACAGTCAATCTGATCGTAAATTCTGATTCTGTTTCCTAAATCGTACAATCATGCTGAAAAAATTATTTCCTCTTTACAGCTTTATACTCAAGATTATAACATTATTTTAACTTATCCACATCTTAAGAAGATTCCTGAGATATTTTAAGAATTTATGTAATTTAGGATCACAATATTTCAAGACATTATGAGCTTAATTCTACAAAAATCTACAGAAATCCTATTAATTTGAATCATCTAGATATTTTCGTTTAATCTTGTTTATTTTTTACATCCATGACATTTTTCACAGAATAAACTGACATAATTTACAAATTTTGTATAATGGAATCACCCTGGTTTGAATTTTGAACAGTTCATTAGTAGTTTAAGGAAATTTAGAATCAATAATTTTTATGCTAATTAAATGTCTTAAATGGACTTGTCCATCTTTCAATGCTGCCAAGCATGCTAAGAGTTGAAAAATTTAAATTTAGTTGCCAAAAGTATTAAATGGCCCCATGGGAAGAACCTATTGCTGGCTCTGGCTCAAATAATATTATTTTCATCAACTCGTTCAACAAATTTAGTATTAAACTTACATGAATTTATTAAATTTAATAATCATATCTGTCACATACCAAAAATAAAGCCCGTTTAATGTGAAAAAGAACCTTTTGAAGCGCTTTTAGTATAACGCTAACATTTAGCGTGTCTTAACGCTTATAATGTTTATAATTATATTAACAGAATGACATCAAGTCAAAATATACGCAAGGCCGTGCAGACACCACATTTTCACATAGTTGTAAAAGCGGCATGGGTTATGTGACAAAATAGCACATGTAGCTAAAAATATAGAGAATGTTTATGTCTTAAGTTTGTAGCCAAAAAAAGAACTATTGACTGATTGAGTATGGCCTGAAAGGGCTTCAAAAGATTACTGTTTTTATATGTCTGAATAAAGCGAACAATCACATCCGCCAACCTATTGTAAACATGAAAGAAACCCTTCCAAATAGCAATTGTTGTCAAGTGAAAAGACCTCAAGTTGTGATTGCAGGACATAGATTAACACTTGTAATATTTATGGGCAATCAGTTGGTCATATTTCAATAAAACTGTTGGCATGGCAATCCCACATCAGAGACTTTTCATTTTTCCCTATTTTGATGAAAAATATCCCAAATATCCGAACTTTTGAACATAATTATGTTATATTTGAATTGAAAAAAATAAGATGAAAATTAAATATGACTATTAATATTGACCTTTATAATGCATTAGGATCATTCTGGTTTTTTATTATTTTCCTTTACTAAGATTTGGATGTGAGATATTTTTTTATTTAGGTGTTATGACTACAAAACATTAAACTGGGTAACAAAACTACCAAAAGGACATGATGAAAACATACATACAGGTTAGGTTGTTCATGGGCAACCTTCTTTAGACCATTACCCTGCTGGCAGCATTAATGAATCTACCCGTGCAACCAGTGCAAACCAAGATCAGAAAAGACATGATGTCGTCAGATGATGGTCTGCACTGTCATTCAGTATTCAGTCAGTACTTAAATTTTTACCTAAACTAGAACTCCGCGAGTCGGATGTGTCGCCTTGTGAACAATGTAGTTTAGGGGAAATGGCCAGGACAAAAATAAAATATGAAAAATAACAAAGGGCAATAACTAAAAAAATAATTAGTGCAGAGCAGCAGTTTCTGTACCCTGCACTTCTTATCAATAAGATCTATCATTCTATGATGTTTCAAGTCCATAGCTTTCATACTTGAGGAGAAATGACCAGGACAAAAATAAAGTAAGAAAATCAACAAAGGGCAATAACTCAAAATAAGAAATGAGGGGTATCAGTTCTTATGCACTGCACTTCTTTTTAATGAGATCTATCATCCTATGAAGTTTCAAGTCCATAACTTTTATACTTTCGGAGAAATGGCCTGGACAAAAATTAAGTATGAAAATTAACAAAGGGGCCATAACTCAAAAATTAAGAAATGCAGAGTACCGATTCTTGTGCACTGCACTTTTTAATAATGAGATCTTATCATCCTTGAAGTTTCAAGTCCATAGCTTTTATAGCTAAAGGAGAAATGGCCCGGACAAAATTAAAGTATGAAAATAAAACAAAAGGGCAATAACTCAAAAAATAAGAAATGCAGAGTACCAGTTCTTGTGCAACTGCACTTCTTCTTAATGAGACCTATCATCCTATGAAGTTTCATGTCCATGGCTTTTATACATTAGGAGAAATGGCCCGGACAAAAATAAAGTATGAAAATTAACAAAGGGCCATAACTCAAAAATTAGGAAGTGCAGAGTACTGGTTCTTGTGCACTGCACTTCTTAATAATGAGATCTATCATCCTATGAAGTTTCAAGTCCATAGCTTTTTTAGTTGAAGAGAAATGGCCCGGACAAAATTAAAGTATGAAAATTAACAAAGGGCAATAACTCAAAAAATAAGAACTGCAGAGTACTGGTCCTTGTGCACTGCACTTCGGGTTATTGAAAGAAGCATGCATACCAAGTTTGAAGTCAATCAGACTTATAGTGACCTATGAAGTTTCAAGTCCATAGCTTTTTTAGTTGAAGAGAAATGGCCCGGACAAAATTAAAGTATGAAAATTAACAAAGGGCAATAACTCAAAAAATAAGAACTGCAGAGTACTGGTCCTTGTGCACTGCACTTCGGGTTATTGAAAGAAGCATGCATACCAAGTTTGAAGTCAATCAGACTTATAGTGACTGAGTTATGCTCCGGACAAGCTTTAGGGGACGCCGACAACGACGCCGACAACGACGCCGACAACGACGCCGACACAGACGCCGCCGCCGACACCGCCGACAAAAGTAACCCCTATATGTCACCTTTTGAAGGCGACACAATTATATAAGGTAACAATTTACATAACAGCACGCCTCCATATTCTTCTAATTTTCATGAAAATTTTGAAAATGTATTTAAAAGTAAAATATTGTGAAGTAACTAAAAGAAAGCAAATTACAAAAAGCACTCACAACACCATAAAAAAACCCAAAAAAACGAGCTGACACGCAAGTGACGAATGCCCTCATGTAAGTGACGAATGCCCCGAAAAGGTATATATGCTTGCAGGTATTGTAAAAAGAGAATAGAATGAAAGTAACGGATTGCTTAATATTATTCTTGTGAAATGAATTGGTATTTATAGCAAACATAACACCTTTGGAGAAGGGATTTGATTGCAACACATCATCTTTTAATGTGGTACACATTTATGCCAAATTATTTTAAAATCCTTCAATGCATGACAATGCTACAGTTTGAAAACTAATGTGTACCTTCAAACTCTTCTTATAAGCATAAGTACCTTCAAACTATTAGAGTGACCTTGACCTTGGAGGTCTTACACACAACATGTCATCTTGATGTGGTTGACATTTGTGCCAAGTTATTTTAAAACTCTTCAATGCATGACATTTATAGTCCTGGACACAAATATGTGTACCTATAATCTCTAATTGTGATAGCGTGAACCTTCAAAATATAATTGAGACCTTGACCTTTGAAGAAAGGATGTGGTTCTTTGAAGCTACACAACATTGTCATGTGATAGATATTTGTGCCAAGTTATTTCAAAATCCCTTGATGCATGACAAAGTTACAGTCTGCACATGATTGTTGTGTAAATAAGGATTCACGGACAGACAGACCGACATGAGCCTTAGCTGGACACAACATCTTGATGTGGTAGACATTTGTTCCTAGTTATTAAAGCATGACAAAAGTACAGTCTGGACATAAATGTGTATCTTCAAACTCTTCTCGAGAGAAAAATTTCCTTCAAACTAGAAGTGTGACCTTGACCTTGAAGGTAGGGACATGGGTCTTGGAGATGACACATCTTCTTGATGTGGTAGCCATTTATGCTTAGTTATTCTAAAATCCTTCCATGCATGACAAAGTTACAGGAAAGACATGAATGTGTGTACTTTAAGCTCTAACTGTGATAAAGTAAACTTCAAAATGGAAGTGTGACCTTGACCTTTGAGGTAGGGACAAGATTCTTGAAGGCTACACATTGTCTTGATGTGGTAAATATGTATGCCATGTTATTCTAAAATCTTTTCATGCATGACAAAGTTACAGCCTGGAAACAATTGTGTGTACCAATTAACTCTACTAAGTGCGGTAATGGGAAACTTTAAAATGTTAGTGTGACCTTGACATTTGAGGTAGTGATTTAATTCTTGGACGCTACACCTCGTCTTGATTTATTTATTTTAAAATCCTTTGGTGCATGAAAAAGTTACAGTCCTGACACAAATGTGTGTACCTATTAACAAAAATTGTGATAATGTGAAACATCAAAATGTTAGTGTGACCTCATGAAACTCAAACTGTTATAGCAAAAAATCTAAAAGCAGTCGCTGCAACTCGGTGCCCTGCAAGAGGAATTTTAGTATATCAAAATAAACTTATACAGGAAAATACATACAAATACTGTATGATTTAGATTGCAAAGATCAGAAAATTACCACAGAAATTGCAGCCTTTTGATTTTTACTGGTGTCTTGATGGACTATGTAAAACTTCTTCTAAATTCAGCTTAATACAAAAAATTTAAGGGGAAGTCTTTTAAATTGTAATGTCAAAAAGAAAGCAAGAGAGTCATGATGGTCCTAATATCGCTCACCTGACAATGAAGGCTCAATCCCCTTTTATTTGGGCTGTGTGACCTAGTTCAATATTGACCTAGAAATCGTCAAAACAACCTTTCTGACCAATTTTCAGGATAATTCTACTTAAACAGTAGCCCAAGAATGTTAGCAAGTTATCAATATTTGGTATGTGTTACCTAGTTTTTGACCCCGAGATGACAATATTCAAACCTGACCTAGAAATCATCAAAACAACCTTCCTGACCAATTTCCAGGATATTTGGACTTAAAAAGTAGCCCCTAGAGTGTAAACAAGTTTTTTCCTTACTTAAGTTTCCTTTTATTATCTCCCCAAACAGTTCTTCATATATTCTACTCAAATTTAACATAAAGATATATCATAAGAATATGCTGATCAAGTTCTAATTAGGTCATGGTCTGATGACTACTGATATAGTGAACTTTTGAACAAAAAGGAAAGAAATTTTTAGCTCCTGTAGCCTAGTTTTTGACCAGAGATGACCAATATTTAAACTTGACCTAGAAATCATCAAAACCTTTTTGACCAAATTTAAGGATATTTGGACTGAAACAGAAGCCCCTAGAGTGTTTTTCTAAAGGTTTTTCTATATTTGGGCTGTGTGACCTAGTTTTTGATCCTAGATGACCTATATTCAAATATGTCCTAGAAATCATCAAAACAATGTTCCTAGCAAATTTCAAGAATATTTGGATCAAAACTGCAGCCACTACAGTGTTAACATTTAGAGTTTTCTATTTTTAGTTTCTGTGACCTAGTTTTTGACCAGAGATTACCCATTTTTGAACTTGACCAACAAATCTTCAAAAAAAAAAAACCTTCCTGATTAAAGCTGCAGCCACTAGTGTTCGCAATATTTTTCTATTTTTAGCTCCTGTGACCTA